AGAAATTCATATACCAAGATGTGCAGTCATTACAGTTTGAGTTGATTTAGGTCTTCCTCTTTTTTTTATTTGCTGTGGTGAATAATGCCACTGTCTTGCCCTAGTAGTATGCAGACCTGTGACCCAGCTTGCCAATTCAGCTTGGCTCCACTTTGAGCAATGTGTAAGTCACAGATATCTTTTGTATTTGTTTGCTTAAATGCAACTCTAGTCCATATTGCCGAAGTTACTGCAATGATAGCTCAGAAAATGAAAAAGCTTTCCCCAAAGCTAAACCCGTGGTTGTTACTTTATCTAATGATGCCATCTCTCAGTTTGCCCCTCACCCCCCTGCAGCTGCTTTCCCTATCAGTAGTGGAGGTTTCCTGTCAGCATGGTATGTAAGCCACTATCATCCCACTTGGTGAAGTTTTCTGTTTCTGTGTGTTTCTCCTCATGCTTTAGATCTTCAGAGGTTGCAGTATTGCCATCTTCTAGAGCCTCATTCAAGCAGTGATGCTTCTGAGGAGTCATACAGAACTTGTGGTTTAGTATCTGTCTGCATCCTGTTGTGCACTTCTATGCACAGACGCCTCTGTAATTGTACATTTTGTTACATTTTTTCATCTCTTCCTTGATGTATTTACATTGTAAGCTGTTCAGGGCAAGATCTGGGTTATTGTTTTTTACAATAAGAATAAGAACTTGGAGTATGTTTCTGAGATCTAATAGAAATAAGTTATTTCTGGTTAGTTTTTCTAACTATTCTGTTAGAATAATTAATGGTCACTTTTCTGTGAAAAAATGTACAGATGAGAGTTCAGACCATCATATGAAAAATATATAAATTGATTGAAAAAGGTTTAAATGCTAATATTTTGTTATAGGACTCCTGATTGAAAAAGGTTTAAATGCTAATATTTTGTTATAGGACTCCTGATGAAAAACACTAGTTAAGACTTTAAGAACTCTATGACTATAAATGCAATTAACTCCACTATTTAAGATGACTTTTTTTTATTTCCAGCTTAAAATACATATTCAGTGTAAGATAATGTAACAAACTCAGTTTTTTTATAATTTGTAAAGGCTTGAACAGGAAAGAAGGACTATTGATTAAAAATAGGACATGGTATGGGCTCTTTTGCCTAGAGATTTTTTTTTTTTAATTTTGACATGTTCTGTGGATGAAATATTAATTGCATAATGCCATTATTTTATCTCCTGTGGGAATAAAAAGAGTAGTTTATAAATTCTTGAATTATTTTCATTGAAATTGGCATTTAATTTTCATAGCTGTAAGACCTTTTAGAAATACAGAACCACCTAGTAAATGGCAAAATATGTGCCAAAATTGACTAAATGTTTAGTTAGACTTTTTAAACTATTTTTCTGGTATCACCTGGATGTTAGATTGTGTGGAAGCTAAATGCTAAGTTTTGCTATTTGATGAATTTGACCAAGATCTCCAGTTTACGTGAATGTAGACTTTTATTTAGAATTTAGAAATAGCCTGTGGTGGTAATCTGAAGCTGTAATTTCATGTTCTGCCTGCTTGATTTGAGTAGATGTAGGTTTTCATTATTAAATCCTACTTCCATGACCACAGCCTGGTGGTGCTGTTTGCTGTGCATTGTCTGGAGCAGAGACACAAACTAAGGTGTAACCTTGCAGTGTGGTGCTTGCTGATGAGTGGTAATTGCTGATCTGCACAGTTGTGTTCTGCCTAGAAGGGTTCCTTTTTTGACTGAATCAGCAAGTTACAGTTAAGAGGAGGTTATGAAAGTGAGCACACTATCTTCTCTTCAACCTCTGCCCCTCATTGTTCCCTGTTCAAAGTTTCTGTTCTGGTTTTGTTGTTTGGTGGCTCTTCCTGAACTCACCTAACCATGAAGCTCAATGGTCTCCTGTGGCTGGATGTTTGTAACTTCTGCCCCCAGCTGACTTCTCTGCAAATTCTAGGGTAGTTGTAGGTGACCACCAAAATGCATGGCATTGCTCTTTGACAGTCTTGCTGGAGAGTGCATCCACATTAAAGGATTAGTACAGTTGCTTGTGCAGCATTAGTTTATCCTTGTGTTTATCCTATTATGTTTATAGAAGTTGAAATACAATATTATCTGGCATCATCTTTTTCTGCAGAGCCCTTGCCTGATGCAGTAACTGGTGCTTTGGGAAGGAATGGCTTTACTGATAGTCCTTGTTTGTGCTCATGATTTCATCTGCTGTCTCTACCCCATCCCTGTTTTTTACTGAGTAGCTTCCAAAATTGAAGATAGAGAGATTGTATTTCCAACAGTCTTTTCATATGATTTCTTTATAACTAATTGAGAGAATTTGGATAAAAAATTAGTGCTAGTAAGAGTAATATAAAAGAAAATTAAGTGAGCTGGCCAGGCTGAGAATGGCAGGACTTCTGTGAAGTAATGTAAAGATTGTTACCCTTCATGGAAGTAGATCACAGGATGTGAAAGTAGCTTGTTGTGTTTGCATTTTGATGTGACTCTTGTGCCTGCATCAGTTCCTGGGGATAGATTTATGACTTTTCATAATGTGTAAACAGATTAATTCCATTACATATGCTCTTACCATTTCTCATTTTGCTTTTTTTTTATTTTGTACTCTTTATTTATTCAGGCCTTACGGTAACTGGAGGGGGCGACAAGAAAGATAGGAGAGGGACGTTTTACAAGAGCATGTAGTGACAGAGTGAGGAAGAGTGGTTTCAAACTGAGAGTACATTTAGATTAGATAATATGAAAATATTCTTTATTGGGGAGGTGGTGATGCACTGGAACAGGTTGTCTGGAGTGCCTCATTCCTGGAAGTGTTCAAGTCCAGGTTGGATGGAGCTCTGAGCAACCTGGTCTAGTACACGATGTCCCTGTCCTTAGCAGAGGGATTGGAACCAGGTCTTCAAGGTCCCTCTCAACCCAGGCCATTCTGTGATTCAATGATTCTATGATTAAAACAGCAGGGTATGAATTCAAATGTCAGGTTATATGCAGAGTACTATTTTTAATTTTTTTTACGTGTTTGACAGTCTTTTTTTGATATGTTTGGGGCATCATTCACCCTGCAAAGTTCCCCACCAGAACTCCAATTGCCATTCTCTATTAGGTGAGGACAATATTAAATTGGTCTAATTTAGTTGTTCTGCCACTTTGCCATTCTACAGGTCTTTTGAATTAGAGTAGATGAGAGACTATGTGTGTGCGTATAAAAAAGCAATAAAAGTCAGCATGTTAGCTGTTAGAAAGGAATAAAACAGTAGTGGTCTTATTTTTTTAAAGTAGGCTTAATATATACAGTATGTAAAAATAACAAAGTATTGTTATTATGTGAAATTGTGACAAATTATGTCAAACTGTGCCTTCATTATTAAGGTCTTTGTTATCTGTTCTGTACTGTATCAGCTTTTATGCTGGTGATATTTTCATTTGCTGTGTTAGTTCAGGTGTGTGTCTGCTTTTGTTAGAAGATGGGTAAACCACAGCAGAGAGACTTTAACTGTGGCTGGTTGCTGGGGACAACAATGCAGCTTTGTAACTAACTAATTTCTTTGAAATTGTTTGGCTTTGTAGTATTTTAAATATCCTCTTACTGTAAAAGGTAATTTCTGCTTTAGAGTTCTTGCAGGGGTTTGCAAATTTTTCAAGTTATTTTTGCTATTGTGTCAGTTGGAACGTGCAAATGCATTCAGCTCCGTTTTTTTGGCAAAAAGTAAGTGCTAGCTTGATCTACCAAGGCTCTGCCTCAAGGGACAGGGTGGGGGTAGTTCTGCTCTGTTCAGTCCCAGAGATGTGGGACTAAAGGGCATAGCCAAGAGGCAGAAAGGGAGACTGTTCTTGGCAGCTGCACACTGGAGGTTGGCAGCTGCACTCTGGGTGCTCTGAATCACCTCTGGAAGTGTCTCCTTATCTGTGAATTACTCTGGAAGCATGAGGAGACTGGCCATCTAAATTATTTGCCTGAAAATAGACCGAGTAAATCCTCCCCACTGATAGTTAAATCTTCCTGCTTTTTTTTCATTAACAGATACAAATGTTTTATACCAAGTTGCTTTGCAACTTGAGTTTCACTGTTAGTTTGAATGTTAGTATAATGTTTTTAAAATACCCAAAATACCCTGCTTTAATATGAGAGGGAATTTTTTAAGAATGAGTCACTTTTTTGTTTTCGTCTTTAGTTCCAAATTTTTTGGATGAAAATATACTTTGGGAATTTACCTAAAAATCCCCTGAAGTCATAGTTTGTGGGGTTTTTGGCAAATAGTAGCTCTAAAGCTTATCTACATGTAGCTTATCTTATAAAATCCTACTTGAACTTAGATAATAAGTAACTTTGTAAACATGTTGGTATTCTTTTCATTACTGATTTCTGCTTTGTAACAAACCCTACATGAAAACTGTTTTTAAAATGTTTCAAAACCACTTTTATCCAAGAGTTAATAACTATTTCTTGTTTTCTACACATGCATTTTAGGTGCATTTCATGACTTCTGGTTTACTCAAGTAATTTGCTATTTCTGTTAAACTGTTGAAAATAGAAGAGCTGTAAATAGGATTATTTGACTTCAGCATTAGATAAATAACTGTCATTTTACTTTGAGCATTTTTTTTTCAGTAAGATTTAATAATTTTACAATTTAAAATTGTGTTTACATTTCTATGAGTGTAAATTCTACATAGGTTTAATGCCATTGCCTTGTTTTGGAGTGAACATCAGCATCACATGCCATTGTCTGCATGAAGGAAAGCTCAGCTGTTGTTACTCATGGCAATACGGTCATTTGATGCTGACTCTGTGTCTGCATGAATTTTGTGGCAAGCTGGGGAGAAAATCTTGCAAATGATCCATTGTTAAAGCTGGGCTACAGGGAATGTGTGATAGCAGGTATACTTAACCTGTATTCCACCAGGTACAGCATCCAAGTACCAGCAAATGCCGTTACATGTCACTGTTGTGGTGACCCTATTTAATCCTTGCTCTCATTACTATGATGGATTGTGTCTTCACAGGCACAGTTGGTTGATCTGAAGTCTGAACTGACAGAAACACAGGCAGAGAAAGCAGTACTGGAAAAGGAAGTGCATGATCAGCTTTTGCAGCTCCACGCTGTTCAACTTCAGCTACATGCCAAGACTGGTCAGAATGTTGACTCTGGGGCTATTAAGGCAAAACTGGTGAGTATGGCAACTTGAATGTGAGATTATATATTACTCTTCTTCCTCTCTTGGCTGAAGTTCTTCCTTGGAAGGTGTGAGTAAGCTGATTACAAATTCTCATGTTAAAAGTATTAGCTTTCTTGCTTTTAATAACATTTATAGTTGGTTGTTAGCAACTATTAAAAATAAGTTGAATAATGTCAGATCAAAAAGTAAGGATTTAAGAAGTTTTTGTAAATAAACCATTTTTGTGGTTTCTGAAAAGAAAAAAAAGAAAATGTTTTTATCATTTATAAAGCTTTTCTGAAGACAGAAGTTGCAAAAGATAATAGAAGAAGGCCATAATAGAAGCAGTCAGTAGACTGCATGTTTTTTTGAAACTCAAACCTTTACAAAGCCCACCAAAAGTTAACAACAATTAATCTGTACAGTTAGTTGGTATTGACTGATAGCCTGGGCATAGACTGCCTTGTTACTAGCCACTCCACAAATTTAGGCTCTAATACTATGACTTTGTAAATTAGAAAACACAGTAGTGTTGTATACGTGTGGTTTCTAACAGTTGGTATGAATCAAAGTCTGTCTCTGACTTTCTAAAATTGCTTCACATTTTGGTTGCAAATACTTACTCCCAAAATATGCAGAACATTAGATTGGGACAAAATAGCAAAAGAGACTATTCATTAATCTACAATAAAACATAGCAGTAGACTATAAGTTTTAAAGGATGTCTAGGGTAATCACTGAACAACAGGAGTAACCCAAATTCTTTGTGTTTCAGATTCAAAAGCTGTAATTGATTAGAGCTGTCATCCTAGGACTACATAGTTGTATATGCAGTATAAAATAATTTTCTGGATTGTCCACACATAATTTATTCTGTACTAAATTATGGCTACAGTATTATATATGTATCTATATTATATATATGTATATACATATTATATATGTGTATATATATTATATATATGTATATACAGTATATACAGTGAAGTTTATTTAGAGCTCTAAATAATTCTCATGGCTTTTGAATAGACATTATTTAAATATCACCAGCATTTTTAAGTGTTAGACAGCAGGTTTACATGTAGAATATTTTTTTTTTTAAGTTAACACATTACTGTGAGTGGTTTTGGTCCCCAAATTTTCTTAGTTTGACTCAGCTTCTGACTAAGTCACAGGCTAGTACTTCAAAGCTTTTTGTTTCTTGTTACCTTGTTATAAATAATTACTAAAGATATATTAAATTTCCATGCTATTGACAGCAGTCTTCTTCCCACAGTTGACAATAAATACATTTACATACATTGGTTCAGTTTCATCTGTGTTGAAATTGAACTTTATTAATTGAACTTCAGCTTAGACTGATATTCTCTGCCTAATTTCCTTTAGTTTTTCCTTTTTATAAATGTGAGGACTAATGTTTTGAGTTTGTTTTTGTTTGCCTTTAGGGAATTCATAGGTTTAATGGACAGAAGCTCTACTTTAAACTCTTCTAGATAAAGAAAGCTATGAAAGTTTGCAAAGCTAGAACAAGCAAAACTGAGGCTGCTTAAATGACAATAAAATGGGACCTCTGATGTTTGGGTAAATGAAACTGTTGTGCTGACCTTCTGGCAGTCAGAATGTCTCTGAGGGCAAAGAAGAACTGCGTCAACAGAATGTGCAATGGGGAAATAAAGCTCTATTAATTGACTTCCTCCTTTCTTGAGGGACAGACACTCCTATTTTTTATGTAGACTCTTTAGACTCTTAGCATAAATGTATACTCTATAATCTGTAGAATTGTGAACTAGGACATTTTAAAATGTTTAGATTGCTAAGCAATTGATAATTGTGTAGTTTAGACCAAGTCCATTCTCTAGGAATGGGAATCTTCTTAGTGCAATTATAATAACTCTTTGTGAGAGTATGAAGTTGGCTGGTTGAATATTTTTTTGTGGTTTTGCACTTGATGCCTTTTCTGATAGTTCTACCTGTCCTTTATGTTCCTCTTGTAACTCATATTATGTTGTTCTTTCTGAAAGGAAAAACATCTATTACCTGTATAATGTTATATTACAGATTGGATTTTCTGTAATTTTTTTTCATGTATATTGTATTATTTTGCTATTTATAGAGATTCTTGGTGATTCAGGAGAAGGTATTGTTTTTAATAATACACTAAAGTTATGTTTTTAGTAAGGTTTTTAATAAATCTCACTGCAAAATAGCAAAATTATTGCTTAATAGAATTGTAGCCGTGTGCTTGTTTTTTATGCCATCTAATGAAATATGCAGTCTGCTGGAGAAGTCCTTTTGGACTAAATAAGTTACATTGTTGCATTTTCTTGAAGTTCCTATTGCCTGTTTCTCTAATTATGGAACTCTTTTCTTCTGTCTTAAGTCTGTCCTTTCTGTGGATGAAATGGTAAGTATGCTGATTGCCATTTTTTTATGTTTAAGCAGTGCTTTTGTTTTGTGCAACAACTTGTATATATGTTGGCCTCAGAAACTGGCAAAACAGATCTGCCTTGTTCCTTCTTCCCAACAGTTGGCAAGGTGCTGTGTAAAGAATTTTCTTTTCATTTTAATTTTTCTTTTCTAGATGTGGTGCCCTCTTTCCTAATTCTGTATGCATTCTGTTTATTATTGCCGCAGCTAGTTTGTGGTGATACCTGGCAACTTGACATGCTGAAAGATTGTTCTGGCAGTATCTCAAAAAATGTTATGGTGTTATACCATTGCTAAAGCATAAACACTGTACACATCTATGAGTGTAATATGAAGTATTCTGCATGTTGTATTTTAAAAAATCCTTTAAACTTCTACTTTTTCCCCTTATTTTTGTCATGGGTATGATTTAATATGGTTTACTGGCTGATGTAACAGCCAAAAGTATATGAACTCAATAATACATAGATAGAAATAAAAAGTGAAGCAAACTTGAATATTTTGTTTTTACATACACTTGAAAGGTTTTTAAACAGCTTTTCTACTTTTATTATGCTACATGCTTCATTATCATTACTCAGTATTTAGCTTTTAGAAAAGCTTCACAATGGCTGGTAACTGTAAGCTTTAGAGTTCAACCTTGCTGTAACTTTTTTTTTAATATTGCCAGCAGAAAATACATTTTCTGTTATCAGAACCTATGCCATACTATGTACACTAGAAAGTATGAAACAAATGTATTCTATTTGTTATATTATGTAACTTCCCTGATTTCTTTAAACATTTTTGTGAGTTTTGTCAAATATTTTTACAGTCACAACAGGACATGCTCTTTCAGGACATCTTCAACGATTCTGTATTTCATGTAGTTATCAGCTGGAGGCAGTCCATAGAAGATTAGCTTCTGGGTGTAATTTTGCACCCCTGTCACAAAAGAGTAGTCATAATAATGAAGAAAATAGGAAGAGAACACTTCTATGGGATTGCATTTGCCCTGTATTTTAGGTGTAACATTTGCAATGCATGACTAAAAGTGATTCTACACAGAAATGTAACATTTGGCTTCCTGTTTAATTTAAATGTCAGACCAAATTCAGAGAAAATCAATGGAAAATCTGAGTCTGGATGAGGGTGTTTAGGCTGGCTACTTTGTATAAATACTGTAAAATGTGATGCATGAAATTCGCTGGTGTAATTGAGAATCTTTGATTGCTTCAGCAATTCACTTTGCTGAGGGAGGTTGGAATATGCCTATCTTAAATTCTAGTCATTGTTTTTCTATATTTGTCAAATAATAGATGTTCTAAAAGTGGACAAACAGGGAGCCTATACTACTGTTTAGATCATCTTAATATAATATTGACAATAGGAACAGAGCTAACAGGAACACTGTATTTGTATATGGATTTTGTAGCTATGGTAAAACAGGTGTTAAGTCTGAACTGTGATCCTTCTTATTCCTTGGATGTTTGGCAGAGACAACACAGCATGATGGCACTCTTGAATTCTTGTAATGAAAATAGCCCAAGACCAAAATAATAATAAAAATAGACTGGTATAATCTTAGAAACTCCTGTTTTGAAATGTAGATTAGTCAAAATTCTTGGCTTAGGTGTGATCCTGCAGTTCAGAAAGAGATTTGCTGCAGAGTCATTCGCACAAAACAGCCCCAACCTAAAGTCCAGACATCAGAAGTGGCTTCATGTGGCAGGTTTTCTAATATGCCTGTGGAGCCAAACTTGATCTAAAGGTAGGTCATCATGGGAATTGCAGGAAGTGAAATGCCAGTGATTTCAAGCACTCTTTGAGCTGCTCCGCCTGAGCAGTTCTTGACCAACGTGTACATAGGTGTGTACTCTCTTCTTCTAAACTGATAAAAGTATTTATCAGATGAGGGAGGCAGTAGAGTCTATCAAATTCAGAGATAACTTTCTGGCAAAGTCAGTAAATGCATCCATATATCTGTTGTGAAAATAATTCCATTTGAAAGGACCAACTTTGTGTAGTTTCTCAAATGTGGTGATATCGACCATATTAATGGTTTTATATCCAGGCTTGGAATAGTAAATAGCATATGCACAATTTGATAACAGATTTGTCTTGCCAGTTCTGTAAAATTTTGTATCTGTCCTGTTGCTTCTTTAGTAGCACTTCCTGGTCTTATTTGTTTAACAATGTAATGGGTACAAGTACAGAGGATGGGGTTTTTTTGGGTACTCCAGGTGTCTTCAAAAATTCATTATGGTGAGCTTAGTTTTTATTGCTGTTTCAGTTGACAGCCATTTTTGAAAGTAAACAGTATTAGACCCTGTGTTTTTACTATTTTCTTGGTTTGTGGTGGTTCTCTCCACTTTGTAAAAGGGATTCAGAGCAAAATATAAAAGATACAAGTTATCAAGCATGCTCTCCTTAAAGTATATTTTGTAGATTAGCAATCTAATTCCTTTTGCACCAGTACGCTGGGTATTAGAAAAGGTAATGACTATGCAATTTGTGTACATTTGGGATGGAGCAGTGTGGGACTAATTTATATTTCCATAATTCCATAATTATATTTCCATAATTCGTTTTTCAGGGGGTGAAGCACAGGGCAATAGCTTGCTCAAAGTGTGGTTTTAATGTGGGTTTTCTTCTTGTTTTGTTTGGTTGTTGTTTGGGGTTTTTTTTAACAGAGCTATTTTGCACTTATTTTCTTCTAGTTTTGTCAGGATGGGCATCTTCATGTGTAGAATCCTTGGCTTTATTTATGTGGTCTCCAAATTCTAATCTGGAAATGTCTCTGGCTGGACATTTCTTGGTTGTTTGCATGAAAATAATTGTTCCTTTAAGGACTTATGGACTTATGCTTCCATGTCATCATCATCATCATAGTTAAAGAATTTAGTTAAATTGAAATATTTAGTAGCTTCAAGGTTACTCTTTAATTTTGAAAAAAGTGTTGCTTAACTTTCAATCTCGTATTTGCAAGATAAGAAAACGAAAGGATGATATTCAGGCTATTTAAATTTTGCCACCTTTGTGTAGGATAGTATGCAAACCACAAGCTGTAGTGTCAGAGTCCCTGCTTTCTTTTTTTTTTTTTTTAATTTCTTTTCCTGCATGCATGTCTTGTACACAGGAAAATAATTTCAGATTGTGTATGCAGAAACAGTAAGTGTTCTTTCATTATTAACTTGGATAAATGCTTTTTAACATTCTTTTCGTGTTTGTTTTTTTGTGGTTTTTTTTTCTGTCATTATAAAGGAGAGAGAACTTGAAGCTAACAAGAAGGAAAAAGTCAAAGAAGCTCAACTGGAAGCTGAGGTGAAGTTGCTGAGGAAGGAGAATGAAGCCCTTCGTAGACACATAGCTGTGCTTCAGGCTGAGGTTTATGGAGCAAGATTGGCAGCCAAGTATTTAGATAAGGAACTAGCTGGAAGGTATGTGAAGTCAATCCATGTCCCCTGGCATAAGATGTTTGTTGTTGTTTCCTTCCATTGCATCCTCAGAGGCAGGTTCAAGGTTAAGACTAAGGAGGAAAAGCCTCATGTTTCCAGTTAATTAACAAAAGGAAGAGCAAAAATCCCCAGGGTTCTTAACGCCAGTTGCTGTGTGATTATGTGCTGCAGCCAGATGAGGTGTATGAGTCCTACTGTGCATTGCTTTTCCAGTTGTAATGCAGCATTGTTTTGCTCTCTTTGTCACTGTGTAGGGTCCAGCAGATTCAGTTACTGGGCCGGGATATGAAAGGACCTGCTCATGACAAGCTGTGGAACCAGCTGGAAGCAGAAATACACCTTCACCGCCACAAAACTGTCATTAGAGCTTGTCGAGGTCGGAATGATCTCAAACGACCAATGCAAGCACCACCAGGACATGTAAGTTGAAAAGATAAGCCATTCCTCCATGATTTCCAGACATGAGTTACCTCCTCATCCTTGTGATTGTTTTCACTTCAGTGACATTTTTTTCAAATGTCACTTGTAAATATGTTTATCTTTTTTATGCTGAAGGACAGTTCCGTGCTGAATAGCATATCCTTCTAAATGACCATAGAAGATGATACAATTCCTTTAACTTACCTAGGAATATTCAGTCCTTTTGAAAACTGAGCCTCTGATACAAATATATATATTTATTTATGTGTATAAATACAATTTTTACAGCAGAATTTTGTAACCTAGGTTTCAAATTGTGGATCTAACTTATTTACAAAAACCAAGAATAAAATTTTTAGCATTAGATTGAACTGAAATTAATTTTGGTTTCTTTTCTTAAAATGCCAGTTAAATTGACACTCTGTAAAAGAATTATTTGTGGGTTGGTTTTGTTCCTCCTAAAGATACTTTTTAAAACAAAGCCTTTAAACAGCATTTCACTATAGGTATCTTTGGTAAAAGATGGCACATGTCCTGTTAATCACCCCAGTGTTCAGTACAGAAAATGGGACATTTTCAACAAAGTGCTTTGCTTTGATCTGTTCTAAATACCTTAGTTGGTGAGATGGGTCTTACTGCTTATGTTGCTAATTGCATGTAAAATATTGATGGACAAGTACATGTATTAGTGATTTTAAAGGTATGCATAATGGCATCAGTGACTAACCAAAAGGAAAAAACAAACCTTGATTTATGTAGTCTCTCTTTTAGAGTTGTGTTAATTGGCTTTTGGTATGGTTTATTTTTATTACAATAAAAATAAACTTGAGCAAGCAACCTCTTCCTTGGGAATATATTACATCATCTTCTGTCATTTGGTTACTTTTAAGATGAGTTTGCATCATATAACATTTCAGGAGTGATCAACAATTCTTCATGTAGTCCCTTAGTGTTTTTAATATCTGGCTGATTTCCTTCTTTTGAAGTTCTGTGTTGTGCACTAATCAGCAGTGAAGTCATTTAAACAACTATTCTCATCATGGGTGCATAATGAGGAATCTTTTCTGATTTCACTCCCTTTCTGTAAAAGGGCACTGTAAATTTATCTTTCCTGAAGCTAGTCTAAAACTCTGTTGCTTATAACACTGCCTATATATAATTACAAAAACCCAAAATGCTGAAAGGCATCAGTTTTTGGTTCACACATTTATGTTTGTGCTATGTTTGTTTCTTGTCAAACTAGGATCCTGATGCCTTAAAGAAGAGTCAAGGTGTTGGTCCAATCAGAAAAGTTCTGCTAGTTAAAGAAGACCATGAAGGACTAGGAATTTCAATCACAGTAAATATGCATTTATTGTCTATGACACAGAAGCAGCAATTCAAGTTTGTATTCCTACTTCTGTAAAATGCATGGATCAGTAAATGTGTGGTTAGAACAAATGAAAAAAAGCATACACAAATGTATAACTGTGGTCATGGAACTTCAAAATCCATTTTGATAGATTAGGAAATAGATAATTGCTACTTTTTGTTAAATTTAGGATTTTGGTTTATATGTAGGGTATAGACACTTCAGCAGATTAGCCAGTGATGGTTCCAACTGTAAGTATTTAGAAGAGCAGAGACAATCTGAGACCTGACTTCCAAAGCCTAGCTGTTGTGATTATAACTTCTTTTAAAGTATCTGTATTGGCATCTCTCACCTAACAAAAGCTGTGTAAACTTTTTACAACAAATTTGGAAATTTTGACTATTAGACTTAATTCTAAATATGAATACTGTTTCTTGCAAGTCAATATGTTGCATGATATGCTTTTTTTAGTTAGGTTTTCTGCTTTTGATTAGTTTGTATATGATTTAATAGTTTTATTAGTATTCAGAATTGCATGCTTTGACTTTGAGTACATATTCAAAATTTTCCATTCTTCTGTGGGGAGAATAATTAAGAGAAGCAGCTCACACATTCTTAAACATTCTTTGTTTGAAGAATGATTTCTAATTTTCTAAAATAGAAGTTGAAATAAGCACTTTTGGAGCTATTATCTGAATGTCAATTTTACATTTAAAGACATACTAATTAATTTAAATTTGCCTTTTTTTTTTTTTAATAGGGTGGGAAGGAACATGGTGTTCCAATACTGATCTCCGAAATCCATCCTGGGCAGCCTGCTGATCGATGTGGAGGTTTGCATGTTGGTGATGCTATTCTGGCAGTAAATGGAGTTAATCTAAGAGATGCCAAGCATAAAGAAGCTGTAACTATTCTTTCCCAACAGGTCAGTTTGGATCTGTTATCCATAGACACATTTAGATACTTTTTGTGTAATTCCCATTGAATTACCTTGAATTTTAATGTTTCCTGGTAAGTACAGTGTAATGCTAAGCTACAGTGATTCTTGAGGCTCTATTACCTTACACTTAATCCTCTTATGTTTTACAATTTAAGGAGAAAAACGCTGGGTCAGTAGTGTTTCAGTTAAGCATGTATTTGCTAATCATTATACAGTAAGGCTGATGAAAATCAACTTCTTACATTGCCCCACGCAAATAACTATTTGGTGACAGATGCTTTACTCTTATGACTTAACAGCTCCAGCCAAACAATGTTTCTCATATGCTTTGTGGTATTGAATCTTCTTCCTGGTTTGCTTCCCATTTTCTGACAATTAACAGGTGTGCTTAATTTATCAGAAAACTTCCTCATTAGAAATTGCTGTTTGAAATGTACTGGCATATAAGAAATATGGGTAGTTTTGGTAAAGCTTAGCTATAGACCTGTTCTACTTTGGTCAGTAAAAACTTAACTCATACCTATCCAAAATATTTAACACTAGTGTAAATGTGTTTACAACAGTAAAACATATTTGTTTTAGTAACCTAGCTCATCTTGGTAATCCTGCTGGGTAGCTGTGCAGTAGGAAGTAAATCTGTATTTTTGGCTACATTTTAGAGAGGTGAAATCGAATTTGAAGTAGTGTATGTTGCTCCAGAAGTTGATTCGGATGATGAAAACGTGGAATATGAGGATGAGAGTGGACACCGTTATCGTTTATATCTTGATGAATTGGAAGAAGGTGCAAATTCAAGTTCTAATAGGAAAGATGCAAATGTTGATGTCAAACCCTCACAAGGTAAACCTAATATGTGTTAGGTGCAGTTTCATTCTGAAGTCTCAATATGCAAACCAATTTCTGGAAAATGCTTTTTTTATATTCATTGTAAAATTAATCTGCTGTCAATTCAATTAACCTACTAATAGACTGTCAGTTCATCTGGTTGGTCCCTCACTGTTTGGCCTGGTTTACTTAGCTACAACTGAATTAACTGAATTAACTTATGAACTTTTTTTTGGTCATCTTTTCCCAAAGGTTGAAATTCAAATTTATTCTTATCTTTTCGTACCTCTGACTAGGAGTCGTTAATTCCCCTTAGCACTTCATGTTGGTGGCTTCTTCAGATACATTTTTTAAATCAGAAAAGCAAAGAAACAGTTCCTATTTTCCTGCCATGCTCTGCTAAAAACCTGTTATCTTTAATTTTAGTAGTCATTTCAGCAAACATTCCAGCTTTTGAAACAAGGATCAGTGATCTGTCCTTCCCAAGATTGCTTCTTTCCTTAAATCAATTTTATTTTTAACTTGCAGTGTTTGATAAGAAGCCAAGTATTGATGGACATGAAAATGGAGACCTGGGGAATTCAGTTGAAGCTTCTTTAGAAGACACTGCACCCAAATTAGCCCGTTCTGCTGAGTCTTTCTCCTAAAACTATCAAAAAAAATACCAAAACCTGGACTGATCCCATCTTTGGGAACAATTGATAATCATATTGACTGCTTAAAGTTGCATATACTAGTATAGGTTGTAACAGGAAGATTAAATGTCAAAAGGAACTGTCTTACTGTTGCCTGGAAAAAAGGCGGTTACCTCAGGGCTTCATTGTGAGCAATTCTAAATGTGGAAAACTGTCTTTTGCGTGACACACAGTAGTTATTGAACACACAGCATGTAAAATTAATTTCTTTTAATAAAAAAGAGTAGTCCCGCCAAAGTGTGGGATTTTTAAAGTGGATAACCTCAATACATTCCACTTTTAATCTCATTGGTGTCCCTAAGGAAGCAGAATAACGTTGACTAGCCTAATTTTCACCCTCGGTTTTAAAGGGACAACTGATGTTCAGTTTGGTGTGAAACATGCTTTAACCCTGGACAGATGCAGGGGACACTTGTTCCATTGCATCTGTGTGTTTTGTATTTAGGATTTTTGAACTGTAACTTTAAAAAACACTTTTTTTTCCTCAGAGTGGTAAAGATGAGAGCTTTTATTTGAGCAAAGACTATCAAAACCCAT